CCCATACAAGCATCATGTGACTGACCTCATTATTAAGCAGTGTCATAATAACTTGGGTCATATGGGCCAGGAATCTGTTTTGTCGTCCTTGAGAGAGACGGTTTGGATTGTGAAAGGGAGATCGGCGGTGCGGCGCGTTTTAAGAAGATGCATGACCTGTCAACGGCAAAGAAGTGCATGGGAGCGGATGATACGTTACGTGAGAGAGATCTTGAAGGCCATTCTAAAGGAGCAGTTAGTCTCTGACGAAGTACTTGCAACCGTGATGGCAGAGGCGGTGAACATTTTAAATTCCAGGCCTCTTACTCGGAATAGTGACAGTGCCCTTGATGAGCAGCCACTGACCCCTAATCATTTGTTACATTTACGCCCGTGTCCAGACTTACCACCGGGAATGTTTAATAAAGATGACCTCAGCTGTAGACGCGCTTGGAGGCAAGCACAGTACTTAGCTAATTTGTTCTGGCTCAGATGGACACGAGAATACCTTCCAAACTTGTTAGAAAGAAAGAAGTGGAACAAGCTAAGAAGAAACTTGGAGGTCGGTGATTTAGTCTTGTTGGCAGATAAGTCCTTCGCTAGAGGCAAATGGCCACTTGGGCGAGTCATAGAGGTCATGCCTAGTCGAGACGGATTAGTGCGCACAGTGGAAGTGAAGACGAGTTGCACGGTTGCGACACACGCTAAACGACAGCGCAAGGGAGAGCCTCTGAGGGAAGAAAGTACGACTCTGCTGACACGCCCAGTGACCAAGATATGTTTGCTCGAAATGGACTGAACAGTTTAGGTTAACCTTGAAAGTTTAATATGGCTTACGGAGCCAAGTGGAACTTGCGGATGTGACTTTGAACAGTCAAGTTTAAAACTTGTTTATTTACAACCTTTAAGGACTTTGCGAACAGAACAGTTGTCTGAAACATGGAACCTTCATGTATTAGTTGTAGTTGGTAGCCCCGTTTCTTTGCATATAAATGTGACTGTTTTCATTCCCATTTAGGGGCCGGTGTGGCTACCATTTTAATTCCGTTTCGTTATTTTCATTGCCGGTTGTTTCGTTACGTAATATCACGTGAGTTATTCCCACGTGCTTTTAGATTTGAAGTCTCTTGTTACGTATTTTGTAGTCCTGTTATGGGTCGCTGTATTCCCAATCAGGGTAAAACAGTTCTTTAACGTGCTTAAGGCACGTTTTTTATTGAAATAAGCCGCAAAGGTAATAGCAAGAAGACTGCTTAGTTCAAGTCGCTTGTTAACAATACTCCTCGAGTTAAAAGAGATACAGGGGAGTTTGCGTTTAAAACTTTCCTTCTGATTCTGGGTTAAACTCGATCTGGGTCCAGGATTGGGATGAATGTTTACCAAGAACAGTTGAGGAGGAGAGAAGTGTGCTTCATGGTTGCTGCATTAGGCCAATCTTCGTTTGAAATAGCAAATATCCTGTGGATACAAATCACACAGTGGACTATTAGGCAACAGTATAGTTCGGCAGCTAAAGGGAATGGTAACCGCATCATCTAGAAAGCCGTTGTTGGGACTTTGAACTACAAACGCAGCATAGATAATGAGAGAGAACAAGCGCCATTCTGCCATCTTGCTTCAATCGCACATCATGGTGATGCCATGTGCTGGTTTGTCTTCAGTATCTACACCCTTTATTGTCGCTGAACCTTAAAGATGCTATCTCTTTTTTCTCTTCTGTATCTTCACCTAGTGATGAGGTAATGAATATGGTCGTCTCCTTTGATCAACAGTCACTACCTCAAATCAGGACTTATGCAACTTTGTATTAAATCACAACTATATGGTGTTGACAATAGGAGAACTACTTGCGGCTGAAAAGGCTACGAGGAAAAAGTCATTTTATGATTGTAACCGTTCGCGTGTTGCAAAATCGGTAATCCAAAGTCGGAATAAAAAACCACAGGTTAATAGGTGACAGTTTTACAGATTCTTGAATGTTTTCTGAGCAGAAATATTCCATAAGAACTGAACCTTAAAACTAAAGAAACGAATAAAGAAAAGTCTAATGTAACTGAAAGCGATCGGCAACGCTTACAACAACTGTATGACCATGAAATCGCTAATAAATGACAAAAATAAACTAACGAACCATACCTTTGTGCAGCTACGAGGCTGCAGATGTTCTAAGGCTAACAATCCATGAAAAGATCTATTTCTAAAGCACAAAGACCGACGAAAAAACATGCATAAGAACCTGTAACACGAAAATCTAAAAATTTGCCAAAGCACATGGTTTTCGTATGCGCGCAAGTATTCTTGGGATGCACTTATTTGTCAATTCATGTAAGCTACAATGATTAACGACTACTTTCTAACTGTCAAAACCAGACTTTTACAAGAATTCAAGACTTTGTACCAACCCTGAACTTAATATGTAGTCGTGAAAGTAAGGCTAATAGGCCAATTGGGGCCTGGTCATTATGTGGGCTTGTATTAAACCCATGAAGTGATGAGTCAATGAATTTGATATGAAAATCATGTGTACTGCAGTATGAAGAAATGTTTATGAAAGCAATCCTCGCAGTTGATGAACACTACTTGTATAGTAGTAAAAATAAAGCCTGAAAAAATCCCAGGCTTGTACAGGATTTGAACCTCTGACCTCTACAATACCCGTGCAGTGCTCTACTAACTGAGATGACAAGCCAATTGACAAGTCATTGCGTTGGTTCATATTTTACCGGTGAAGTGATGAGTCAATGAATTTGAATTTATGAAAATCATATATGTGTACTGTGGTATAAGGAAATGTATATGAAAGCAATCTTCACAGAAACGAACACTACAAAACAATTGAAGCCTGTAAGGGATTTGCACCAGTGGATCATATACTGTCTTGGAACTGTTGATGCAACCGTTGATGCAAAAAGGAGATACAGCTTTGGTGTTTACATGTAAACATATTCCATGTTATGGTGAAAATAAGTTGAAATAAAAAGTAGCATTCCATCAATCCACTACCTTTCTGTGATGGTGTGGTTGGATTGGTAAGATGGAGTTTAGAAGCGATGCTTGAAAGATGTAAAATTGGAGAGAAGGTTAACAAAACTCTTGGAAAGAACTTTACAGATTTTTAATCAAATCTTAACCAGTTTTGAGTTCTGTGAGACCTTCCAAGAGCTCATGAACTTAAAATATGATTCGCAATGTGAACTTTAACATGTTTTATTTACAGCAGGTAAATCAATTCAACAGTAACTTCCATTGATTGCAATTTAAAGTGTTGCATTTCATGGATTAAGTCAAACAAAAAACTACAACTCAATACAAACTCAACGTCTATATGTTCAACATGGCAGTTCTCAAATCTACAAGGTGTGCACGTGGCATGCGGGCGCATATGCGACAGATACCGCGGGCTGGCATGCCCAACATAGCATTCCTCCCCCCTAAATTCAGAACTAATCTAAAATATACGAGTTCAGTTCAGTTCAGTTCATATGTATAGTTTTTCAGGGGGTTTCTGCAGCCGACGGGGATAGCGCCTAGGTGGTGGTGTTGCTGAACTGCTGCTAGGTGAGTTGGTCGGTTGGTTGNCATCCTTACGATTCCGGGGTGGCCTTCATGAAGTTGTTCTAACAACTGTGTTCGGTACTTAGGTGGAATTATCACTCGAGAGCCCCACAGAAGGCAACCATCCTGTAATGTAAGTTCATCCTTCCTTCTGTAGAATGGTTCCAATTCTTTTTTACTGACTGGTGGCCACCCTTGTCTTGTATGTTCTCGCACACGTGATAATACTGGATCTCTCTGGGTTGCTTGACACATCATATCTGCATTGACTGGCAGCACTTCGAGCTGTGACACTTGAAAAAATTTCCGCTGGATCAGCTACTTCCTTGCTGTACGCCTTTTTCAAGGGTAGGCGGGGTAGTCCATCCACGTTTCCATGTTGGATGGTGTTTTTGTACTCAATGCTGTACTTAAATGCTGCTTGCAACAATGCGTAGCGTTGTAAGTGGGTAACTGTCAGGGCTGGTATCCCTTTCTTGGGGATAAGAATTAAGGTCAGAGGCTCATGATCTGTGACCAGCATGAAATGGCGGCCAAACAGGTATAGGTGCATTTCTTGACTCCCCAAACCAAGGCTAGGCTCCCTTGTCAATCTGGGAGTAGTTTCTTTCTGTCTTCGTAAGGGTACGTGATGTGAAGGCTATGGGTCGTTCTGAGCCATCTTCTATTACATGCGATAGTACGGCGCGACTCCTACTGGTGAAGCATCGCATGCTAGTTTCAATGGTTGTTATGGATCATAGTGGGTAAGTACCATATCTGATGGTATGAGTTTCTTCACCGAGGAAAAGGCTTCCTCACACTCTGCAGACCACTTCCATGGCTTGCGTTGTTCTAAGAGCCTGTTCAGGGGGTTGAGGGTGGTTGCGAGGTTGGGTAAGAACTTATGGTAATAGTTTACCAATCCCAAAAGTGAACGAACTTGTTGAACGTTCTCTGCCCTTGGGGCATTGATGACAACATCAACTTTCTCTTGAGTCTTGTGTAGTCCGTATTTGTCCACTTCGTGTCTGCAGTAGATGATCTTCGTCTGGTAAAAACTCACATTTCTCACGATTTGCTCTTAGGCCATGTTCTTTTAACCTCTTCAGTGTTTCCTCCAGGTGGGCGAGATGCTCTTCGTCATCTTTTCCTGTGATTATCATATCGTCTAAGATGCAGCTTGTTCCTTCTATTCCTTCTAAGATTTGATGCATTGATCTCTGCCAAATGGCTGGGGCTGACGTTATCCCAAATACCAGGTGATTGTATCGGTACAATCCTTCATGGGTGTTGACTGTCAGGTACTCTTGTGACTCTTCCTCCACCTCCATCTGATGGTATGCCTGTCTAAAGTCAATTTTGGTGAACTTCTCCCCCCCTGACAGCTTAGCAAATATGTCATCGATGCGAGGGAGAGGGTACTCCTCTGACTGCAGTTGGGGGTTTACTGTGATCTTATAGTCACCACAGATCCTTGCTGTACCATTTGGTTTGATGATGGGTACAATAGGCATCGCCCAGTTGCAGAAGTTGACTTTGCTCAGTATTCCTTCTTCTTCTAAACGTTTCAGCTCAACTTCAACTTTGGGTTTCAAGGCATATGGAAACCGGTCTTGCTTTGTAAAACTTGGGTTGACTGTTTTCCTTAAGCATTAGTTTTGCTTTGGTGGACTCGAGTGTGCCAATTTCGTTTTCAAACACCTCACTGTACTCATGCAGGAGTTTCTCTAATTTCTTTTGGGTTTCCTGTGGTAGCTTCTGTAGTATCCCGCCCGGATGGTTCGGATCTAACCAATAACACTCGGATTAAACCAACGCACATTAACTTAACAGTTTAATGGTGGACAACGTGTTCTAACAACAACTCTCGCACGCATCCGCCAATGGGTAATACACTACAGCTTCTCTTTTGAAATAGTACAGATCTGTTTCCATTCGAGTTGTATCTGGTGCAGCCAACCTCTTCCAAACAAGGCTGGGCCTTGTTTCTCTACCACGTACAATGTTAAGTTCTTAACCTGATTGGTGTGTTCCACACAAACAAGGAGTTTTCCTTCTGGTTTCATCTTCTCTCCTGAGTAGGTTTTCAACATGGCTTTGGTGTCCACCAGTTGTGTCTGCAAACATATCCTTGTATTTCTGCAATGGAAGTGTGGATATTGCTGAGCCCGTATCGAGTTCCATTTTCAGGGTGTGTCCGTTGATCTTTGGGGTAACCCAGATGACCTCACCAGCTTTTACTTGGTTGACATTGTTTACTTCTAGTGATACCATGAAGCTGTCATCATCACGTTCATCACTCATCTCAAAAGAATGCAGATTGGGTTTATCAACCTTTCTTTGTCGGGTAGTGTTCTGATTTCTTCCAACGTATCAAACTCATTGGATGTGGCCCAGTTTTCCACATTTCCGGCATGTTTCATTATTGATGTAACACTCGGATGATTCGCCACTGCAGCGATAACAATTATCACGGGCCTTCTGCTTCACATTATGTACTCTTTCGTTTTCAGTGTTTATTTTGTTAACGTCAGATTCTTTACTACCCTGTAAATGTAACGTATCTTTTACTGCAGCTTCCATGGCAAATGCAATTTCTGTCGCCTTTGCTAAGGTCAACTCTGGTTCGGAGAGCAATTGTTTCTGGATAAGTTCACTGTGTAATCCACACACGAGTCTATCCCTTAATGTATCATTTAAGCTCGCTCCAAATTCACAATACAATGTCAACTTCTTTAATTCGGTAATGTAAGTACTTGCGGTTTCACCTTCCAGTTGGTTTCTCTTATGAAATCGAAATCGCTCTGCAATAAGCAGTGGTTTCAGAGAAAGATGTTTCTGTAGAGTTTCCACGATGATTTTGAGAGACAGGCTGGATGGTTTCTCTGGGGCAGGCAGGTTTCGTAAATAGCCCATACGTTTTGTTTCCCATTAGGCTGAGCATCACTGCCACTTGTTTGTCTTTTTTCATATCATTGGCGAGAAAGTATTGCTCTACTTGTTCAACGTAGGCAAGCCAGTCATCGTTAGTTTCGTGAAAGGCTTCTATCTTTCCAATCAGCATATTGTCCTAGACCTGAAAATCTCTTAGCCAATCTGTTGTGTTTCGCGGATTTAAGTCAGACGAAAAACTACAACTCTATACAAACGATCTGCAAACGTGGAGTGATGAAAAGGCCCATTTTAAC